AGAAAATAAATTAAATAATAGAATACGACGTTTCGATCGCAACACAAGCAACGGTCATCAGGTAAGAATCAATGAGAAATCAAACCTAGTGAACTTAGAAATACAATGCAATACAACACAGAGAGTAGGCCAACACAACAGTCAGCACCTCACAAAACACAGACACGGAGACATACAGGTCTCTGTGTGTCTATGTGTGTGTCTCTGTGTCTCTGTGTTGTCTCTCTCTGCTTGTGTGTCTGTCTGTGTGTCTCCGTGTCTGTGTTTTGTCTCTCTCTCAAATTTAGCAATCTTTGGAAGAACGTAATCTCCCAGGTGAGGTGCTAACTGTTGTGTTGGCCGACTCCTTGTTGTATTGCATTGTATTTCTAAGTTGACTACGTTTGTTTTCTACCTGATGACGGTTGCTTGTGTTGTGATCGAAACGTCGTATTCTATTATTTCATTTATTTTCTTTCTACGTGACTTTACGGAAAGAACCAAAGAGTAATTCCATCCAGTTTATTTTATACAGTTTTCTTCATGAACATCTCCATGCCACAGATAAAAAAAAAAACATTTCCACCTTGTTGGATTCAGCATTGCCATGGTGACCACGTGGCCCTACCAATTAGTTACTACTTCAGCACACCAGTGTGTTGGAGAGTTAAACTCACAAAATGTAGAATTCTCCAACACACCGGTGTGCTGAACTAATAACTAATTGGTGGGTTTTGTTTACGTGCCAAACCTTACGAAATGGCTTTGTCGAGTGGTGGCGGGTTTAACGAAACATTAATATTTACACGATCTAACCCAAAAAAACGATTATATTAGGCGTGAAAGCATACGTGTTACACTGCGTGAAACAAGATTGATATAAATGCGTGTATTCCTCGAATACAAACCCCTATGAAGTACTCTGAAATCGTTAAATAGTTTACTCTTGTTGACTCGCTACTCCTTCGAAGTGGTCTCTCCTGTCCACCATCAGCGTAGCCTCAAACGTAATGCTGTGCACCTCTTGATGTACTCCTGAATGGCTGTTGGCCGTTTTGCTGCTGCGCCACGCTCCGATGTGTTTTTGGGTTGTACCGCAAGTTCGCTTGGAATTACCTTCCCGAAGAAGCTCTCAGCATGTGGAACAAAACGTCGGACATTGTGCCAAGCAACGCGCGGTACGACCTGAAGATGCGCCAGGGCGCTCGACGGCTATGAATATCACAAAGATGCACGTGAGACACATTTGTAATTCCACAACGGTGTAATTACAAATTCCCTTCCCTTTCTCACTCTCTACTGATACCTGTCATGTAGGTGCACGAGGCCCATCCCTAACCACTGCCATTGCATGGTAGCGATGTGTGCAGCCTGGGTGCCTAAAAATACCAAACTCTGCAGCCACAATGCTTCTCGCAAACCTTCCTCGTCTGCATACTCCGAGCCTCGAGGGGCAAATAATCCACTGTGGCGGATTTCTACTCCTGTTTTCTACGGATAATAAAATGCTCATGAAAGTCAGGTGCATCCCAATCTCTGGAGCCATTTAGACTCAAAGAATAAATCTCAGATATTCTGACGTCCCGGGAAAGCGGGCACCTTGGGCGTGAAATATAAAGTCACGAAACGTAGAGAGCACTCTGTGAAAAAAGTTGAGTTTTATCATTGGTACAACCAAAGCCGTAATTATAATATATATTGGGGGGGGGACACATTCCCCCACAATATTCAAATATGCTCCAAATACCCCCCCCCCAATATATTGCTATGAACAATATAAAAAACATTTTTACAATTGCTATGCTATGTAAATAAAAACAACAATTTGCTAAACCTTGGCCACAATATCTGGACTTGTCTTCATATAACAATGCATAGATTTCTGTTTATATGATTGCGGTTATGGTTGTACTTTATGAATCTATAATCTGCCATTACATACAATGAAACAAGAAATGGTAAAAAGGTAAAAGCAGGGCAATGTAAAACAATACACTATTAGACATTATTGTAAAGGATAAATAAAAAGTCCATCCCATGTGTTAGTGAATTTTTAAATATTTTAGGCAGGAAATGGTAGGAAATTAGTTTTCAAATTTTGATTTTTTTCTGGGGGGGGGACCCCTAGACCCCCTGGAAGATTTGGTCCCCCCCAATGTTGTCTCCATGGCTACGGCCTTGGGTACAACAAATACCCTGGACCAGTTTTGATATTCAGTGTCTCGTCGGCAAAGTCAGGCTTGCTCGAATCAATGGTGGTAAATACCAGATGTTTCTAGGCAAGGACCCTCTCTGTCTGTTAGATATGGGGCCTAGTTCGACGCAAAGACATTGTATTGTTTGGAGGTTGAGGATTACAGTAGCTGGTTATCTGCTCGTTCTATATGGACCACTGTGTGTGTGTTGGCCGTGTGTGTTGTGCTGAGCAGGGACGCAACGTTTGCTCGCTGTCTCTGGGCCATATCTTTCACAACGCCCACGGTGGCCCCAGCAATGCAATGTCCCACACCTCTCAGACCAATCACCGCCTGCTCGAGTACTGTACAGGAGTAAGACTTCCAGGGACAGTCTATTGCACACCTAAAACGTCAAAGTCGTGTCTATAACACAACTCGGCACGTTCGTCAGTAATACCGTAACCATCACGGAAAAAAATATTTACTGACGTTTCGAGCAATATCCCTTCTTCATAGCACATGAAGAAGAGCCATTGACCTAATGAAGCAGAGCCATTGACCTAATGAAGCAGGACCGATGCTTTTGCAATATTATTATACTTGTTTACCCAAGAAAGCCTCACTGAGTCGCAAGACTTTTTCAAGAGGCGTCGTGTGGTAGAGGGTGATGTGGCCACTGCATATAAATTCCACGTAATTTGTAGCATTGGGGTTGTTTGGCCAATACGAGTTACATTGTATGGCGGGCAGGAGGAGGTTAGCTATGGGAGGCAACTGGAACACCTGAGAAAATCCATGCGGAACAGGAGAACATACAAACTTCACTAAAAAGATCACCCAAGTTGGGAGTCAAACCCAGGAACCTCTTGCTGCCGCCCTATAAAAAGGGAAGCTGACAAAGGAGGAAATTAGAATTTCGCAAGCCATTGTGGCGTCAGATAGACACTGGCACGGCCTGGCTGCTGAACCTCAGATCTACTTACATCGAGTCGACACGCACAGAGCATGGATTCATATCACAGAGGCCCTAATTATACCCCATCAGCTGTTAGCGGGCACCTCATCAGGTAGCCAAGGCTGCATGACATTGGCGGTGTGTCCAGCACAATACCCAGCCACCTTTGTCTCCTCAGAGCAGCTACAGATTTGAGGCCGGTCTTCGAGAGGTTCCGAAGTTGATCCCAGGACACTGGGAAAGCACTGAAATGCGAATCGCAATGCCACCCCCTGATACAGGAATCCAATTAACTACAGTATATTCCATGGAGTGGTGGCTCAGTGGTTAGCGCTGTTGTAGCGGGCACTCTCCTCACCAACACGCGAGACGGGCTACGGTTCCAGTCCGTTTATTCCACCTCCGTTACAGCTCCCTCCTTCATCCACCGCACTCTCTCTCCTGCCGCCATTCCTCCGACGTCCCCTCTTATCCCCACGGTCCCCCCTCTCCCATTGCCTCCCCTCATCCCCTGTCACCTAATTTACAGCCACCAATCATCTATCGTCACACCTCGGACAATGCCGCCTCATCTCCCGCCACCAATCCCCTCTCTTCATCCCCGCGGGGTTACTCCAAGCGGTCATCTCGGTGCAGGGATTGACGTCAGCGTATTGGGGAGAGGGAATGATGTTGTGGGGACCGTTATGGAGGACTGTTACGCGAGCAATCACCTGAATAATATTCCCTGCCACAGCTGACATGCGTGGGCGAGCGATATCTGAACCGATTCTTGGCCCCTATTCCTTCGCTAACCTGCACTGACCAGCGTGGTGAAGTATGGTCAAACAGCCCCCCATGATACACAGGATATGGGGAGGCCTTCTACCAGCAGTGAATGAACAAGGAAATTGTAAATAATAATGTTTTATAACTATACTTACATTATATGTGTGCTTGTGAAAATATTGTAAATGGGGTTCACTGAACTGTTGAAAATACATTGAATCAATAGAACAGCCGCTGTCTTCTGGACCAATGTATCGCTGTACAATGTGCTTAAGCCAATCAAGTTGATTACGATGCCAACTGCGTGTTTTCGCGATTGTGCTGCAGTGTGTCTCTCCGATGTGCTTGCCGCGTGTTACTTGTCCGACGTTTCACCCCACATGGCTGGGAGCTTTTTCAGGAACTGAAGAGGTTCGCAAAATGCATGGGAGAGCAAATGACTTACGACTTCACCGAGCCTCATCAGCCTGTTAAATAATTACCGGGTATCCCACACAAGCCACTCACTGGCCAACTTTTACTGTTACCAGGTTCCCACTTGGAAACGGTGGGCGCCACGGTGGCGAGATGTTAACTACCTCGCCTGGTATACAGGAGGTCGTGGGTTCAATCCTGACGCTGATGCTTGCTGCTGTATATTTGGAGTTTACATGTTCTGCCCGTGGTCGCGTGGACTTTCCTTAGGGTCCTCTGGATTTCCCTCCACATTTAGAATCAACGTGCTTTTAAGAGTAATTGGCTGCTATACATTTGCATACGACAAGCCACTGCGTTGAGCTATCATTTGTGGCCAGGTCGCTTCTGAAAAAGAGCTATACAGCTCATTGGACCTTTATCTGTTAAAATAAACAGTTTAATTTTAGTATCGTTAGTACTTGGTACATTTAAAAAAAACTCGCACCATTTGTTTCAACTGCCGCTTCGGGAAATCGAACCGGCGACAAGCGGGTTGCAGCTCCAGCGCGCCGACCGCTGCGCCGCTGCAGGGAGCATCCCCCTAGCTCTTCATGCCTTCGTCTGGTCCCGGCATTCCCTGCTTGCCCCCTGTGTTCCCCGCAGCCGTTTTGGGGGGGGGGGCTCTTTTGCATGTCCAGCGCTTGTAACAAGCGTCCGTGCCATAGGTGGACTCGTACTCGCTGGAGGCCGAGGAAGAGCTCGGGGACATCCTGCTCGTGAAAATTCAGAAGCGCGGATTCATCTTCGGCGACGACTGGTACTGCAAGTACGTCCACGTGAAGACCCCGAAGGGAGAGCACATGGAGTTCCCCTGCTACAGGTGGTTCATCGACGACAAGGAGATTGTGCTTCGCGAGGGCAAAGGTCGGTGCCGCGCGGAATTCTCATCACCACCGTAATCGTCGTCACAGTTATGATTAATACTACGCTCGTTCGAACAGGGAAGCCTCACCGAACCTCCTGACTTTTTCAGGAGGGTCCCACCAAGTATTTTTTCCCAGGATAGGGCGATGATTGCTGTGTATATTCCAAATAAGTAATTTTCGAGGCGGTAGTCCAGCGCTGTGGGAGGCAGCGAGGGTTGGTGGATCACACAGATGTTGTGCAACTCCCTTCCCATGGGCATCGAGGACGCGCTATACCCTGGTTCTCCAGGAGAAGGCAGTACAGCAAGTATTTACTCATTTACATTTGTTCCAGCTGTATGGGATAGAGCGTTGCCTTCTCGCATGCACGGGTTTCCTTCTACATGTCTAAAAACTCATTTAATTGACTTAAAACATCGGAATATCTATGCTCCTTCATGTGTTGCAGATTGTGCGGTGGAGTGAGATGCAGTTTGCATGACTGATGCTGCAATATAAACGCTTTGATTTAAAAAAATAGTGGTACTTGGTGCGATTCATATTTGTTTTGGGCTAGACCACATGCGGAGGCGAAATATTAACTGCCTCTCCTGGTATACAGGAGATTGTGGGTTCAATCCTAGCTCTGATGCCTGTATATTTGGAGTTTCCATGTTCTCCCCGTGGTCACGTAGATATTTCTCTGGGTCCTCCAGTTCTTTCCTCCACATTTAGAAACATGGGTTTAGAGTATTTTGCTGTTATAAATCTCCAAATAAGCCACTTCGTTGGGCTATCATTTGTGGTAAGGTCACTTCTAAAAAAAGAGCTATATAACTCAGTGGGCCTTACTTGGTAAAATAAAAAGTTTTAAAATAAAGTTTAGTTTTTATGCCAAAATTCTTGCCATAAACCTCCACCAACTGACAATATTGTCACATTTACAAAGATATTATTTGTACATGGCCAAAATAGATTTCAAATTCTTACCAACAAAACTCCCCCTCCTCACCCGTGGCTTGAGACTTCTCACGACTGAATTTTACACCAACGTACGTCGACATTTTACTCAAACTGCTTTGAGCTTCATCAGATATTGAACTCGGAAATCGAGTGAGGTTCCATGACCAGTGTGACTCTGCTCTTGAAGTACCCGCCGTGACATCACCAACTTGCTAAGGAATGGTTCATCTCCACTGGTTTGTAGTTGGGGCCTGGCTACATTATTAGTTGGTTAAAGTGTTGATTCACGGCGTGCGGTGTCTGTGTGCAGCCCGATTAGCGCATCAGGACACGCTCCAGGTGCTCAAGCAGCAGCGTCTGCGCGAGCTGGAGGAGCGGCAGCAGCTCTACCGGTCAGCACCGCCTCCTCTCGCGCGCTTACTCACACCACCCGCTGCGCCACCACACGATGGCAGGGAACTGGTGACGCTCGTGGCAAGAAGTTCCTGGGTTCAAATCCCAGTTCAGGCACCTTTCTGTGTAGAGTTTATATGTTCTTGCCATTCTTTTCCACCTCCATGTGGCCACTGCGCTGTCCGAGCTCTCGCCGAGTTTACATTTACAAGCAAATTTCTTACATCGACATGCTAATCTCTCACAATACAATGGCCACCACCAACAGCTCTGTTTAAGTACCTCTCCCACATTGGCATTAGCTGCCCCGCCCATCTCTAAACCTTTATAAACAGCCTGCCTCAGCAGATTTCCCCTTCTTTTTTCACCTGAAGACGATTGCTTGTGTTGCGATCGAAACGTCGTGATATTGTTATTATTTTGATAATTTTTTCTATCTACGTGGCCTGACCGAAAGACCCAAAGAATATGTTCTCCCCTGTTCTGTACAGAATGTGAGTGTGTATGTGAGTGTGTGTATTTGGAGTATGTATGTTTTCAGAGGAAACCCATGGAAAACAGAGTTCTCCGGTTTCCTCCCATCACAAAAAACACATAATGTAAATGGTATTTGCCAAAAAATCTCAGTGCTAAAAATTATGCTATTTTCTTAATTGGGATTAAACATCTCCCCCTCCTGCGAAAACGTGGCAGGGCAAAACAGCATAATAACAATAATCAGGTTCAGACCTGTTGGGCTATGTGATATGGTAGGAAAGTGCCCTCTGTGAACATTGTGGGACCGGTTCAGTACAAAACAATATATCTGTACAAAATGTCATTCAGTCATGGAATTAAAACACGTCAGTCCATGATTAAAACTGTTGCTGTGACTCGTGCGTGTGACTGTAAATCCGAAAGCCTTCGCTCACCGCACGCTCCCTACGCGCGCAGGTGGCAGGAGTGGCAGCCTGGCTTCCTGGGCAGCATTGATGTGGCGCGCCACAGGGACCTGCCACGGGACATCCAGTTTGACAGCGAGAAAGGAATCGACTTCCTCCTCAATTACACCAAAGCGTACGTTACGTTGCATTGCGGCCACGCGGGCAGGGCACGACCTGGCACGGGGCCTGTGGGCGTGCTGGAGTTTTGTCGCGCGACAGATTGGCACAGGCCCCCCATGCACCCCTCGCACGTGAGCAGCTTGAAGATGGTGGCAAGGCATACTGGAAGCGAGAGTTGTGGGGGGCAGTACTCGCACCACAGATAACGCGTGCCCCCCCAAACTCGCACTGCCCACCAGACTCCAGAGCGCTCACACTGCGATGCCACTGTCCCCCACCCCAACCTCGTGGTTGCTGCGGGGTGATCATGCTGCACCTGAAATAATGCCAGGGAGAAAGGCGTTTTTCGCTAGCCATAAGCAACTTAAGAAAAATATTTGGCTCCAAAAAAACTTAAGGGGCCACAGATTCATAAAAAAAGAGAAATTGGGGTGAGGCAAATATCATCTAAAAAACAAATGGAAGTACAGCGAGTCGATTTATCTCCATCTGTTTCCATTTGTACAGGGAAAGAGAATTCCTTCCCTCATATGCGTGGGCTTTCTCCAGGTGCTTGTGTAAACACTTCTTGATGGTGCTGGCAAAACATCCCAACGGTGGATCACAGAGCTTGCCCACCTGTTTAAGGAATTCTGGCCCGCATAATTAATGAACGTGTTGAACTTGTTAATTTGCATATGGTTTTGTGTTTCTCTGTGAAGGATGGAAAACCTGTGCGTCAATCAGTTCATGCACATGTTCCAGTCGTCCTGGAGTGACTTTGCCGACTACGAGAAAATCTTTGTGAGAATAAAAAACACCATATCTGGTGAGACCTTTCTTCAACACCACAGACATTTGTAAACGGCTGACACATTTTATTGTAAACATTTTATTCAGCTGCCACTAGTCCACGAAGAGCAAGATCAATTGTTGTACTGTACTCTGCTCCAATCTCTACGCTCCCCAACTTTACGGACTCGCATGGACCAAACTCGTGAAACAAGTTCATCAAGTGCAGTCCGTCAAAAATCTGGCCTGCTAAAGCAATGCGCCAAAGTCCTATCCAATAAATCTGCATCATCCGCAACCTCCTAGTAGCACACATTCATCACCTCTGTATTTATTCCTGGGATTGGTTTTACTGTTATACCCCCATTCACGTTATAATGATAACAGGGTTTTTGCCCTTTTTTTCTGGCGATAAAACTGAAACCTTGTGCAAGGAATCATGTTTACATTAACCACAATACTCGCAGCCAAAATGCAAACAAAAACAACAATGATCATTTATGCATAGTCCTTAAAACTTTTTTTTTGAAACCTATTATTATATTTTGGTACTGGCAAAGGAGGCCTCATGATGTAGACCCCATTCACGTTGTTAATGAATGCACAGTTAAGAACATGAAACAATACGCGAGACAAAAATACAAACCTGACGAACATGTTAGGGAGACTGCCCCCCGTCTCCCCGTTCTCCTGTGACCCACCGTCCTCCTGCTCTCCCCCCTTCGCTGCTGCTCCTCGGGGCACGATTTAACTCGCTGCACTAACCAACTCACAGATACGCCGCGGTGCCCTTCTCGTACACGCCAACCGCGAGCTGCGCCACGGCGAGAGTGCCCACGCGTACAGAACACGCGGGGCACCACAACGCACGGGCTCACAGTTAACGTGCACGGCGAACGCGCACGCGCGGGCAAAATATACACTCGTGCGCAAAGACAAGACACCACACAACGCACAGGCTCACCACACCACGCACCTCCTTCCCTCCCCGTACTCACAGAGACGACACGACACGGTTTAATGTCTACTGGTGGTCTATTCTCTATTTAACAAGAATGATTTTACTCGTGTTAGTGCGGGTCAGCAGGGCAGGTCTGTCCTATCTTCCAGCTGTTTAGGGCTCAATTTGCCTAGTCTCTCCCTACTCACCCCTCTACGGGATTTTCTCCTGGGACTTACCTCTCCATTCTATACTTACGCTCCGACCTCGAGGTGTAGGAAACCGCGGAAAGGCGAGGCTGCACGTGGCTTTGGCTGGGAAACTGGACCCGGCTGCTCTCTGACCAGTCTCACGGACGTTCGAGTAGCAGTGGGGATGAAGACTCCTCGATCCCTCTCTCCAGTTGACCCCCGGCGCAAAAGACAGCCAGCTTCCCAAATCCGTCCCTTTTTATGCCGCCGACCCACTGGCCCCTTGTCCAATCTGCAGCCTCGGATTTCCCGCCCCTGGCCAATCGGATTATCCCCCCTCTCCGACGCCCCGCCCCCCATTGTTTAACCGATGTGTGCCAGTTTGTGGTGATCGTGCTCCAGTTTGTGGTGATCGTGCTCCAGTTTGTGGTGATCGTGTGCCAGTTTGTGGTAATCACACACATCGTTTACAGACCTTAAAGGTCAATCTGCGCCGCCCCGCACCCCGCCTGCCTGCCGTTGCGTGTGCCTTGGGCATTTCCTCATTGCGGTTCTCAGTGAGTTCGCCGTGGCCATACAATTTTAAGTTAATCCACGGCGCCGCAGTGTCATTCGGCTTGGGAGGGGTTCTGCCAATTCCTTGGCCCTGAGAAACCGTGGAGCACCCCCACGAGGGGGTCTCTCGGATAAAAACTCAGCGGCAGGTGACCCCCCCCACGAGGCCCTACGTGAGTGCATGTGTGTGTTTATGTGGGGGGTGGTGGGGAAAGCGCTGTGATGGAAGCCGGTGGCTTCTCTGTTGCAGCAGCACAGTGGCGGCCCCGCCCTCGGCGGAGCGGCTTCGCTGTCGTGGCATCACGTAGCCCCCCGAGGTGCCAGTCCCCGTCCCGGGTTGACTGGAGCACCTTGCCTGGGTTGCCCCCACGAGGTAGCGTCGTGGGGTCCGCGGGACTCGTCCAGTCCCGGCCTCGGGGGTGGTGGCTCCGTCTCCTCCTCCACTCCAACGGTTCTCCTCGGTCCTGGGCACCTGCAGGCTGGGGAATGAACTCAGAGGAGGTAGGGTTTAAGGGTCGTCGTTCCCGTCCCCCCCGGCCTGGGCCGGAGCCCCTCGGAGCCCGGGGCCCCGTGGGGCCCATATACCGCGCGAGGCCCCCGAGTATGGGGGGCGTGGGGACCCCGGGATTTCGGGATACTCGAACGGTGGTGGTCCCCCCCCGTTGGAGCTGCTCTCCATGGTTTTAGTCGGCGGACATTGACCACCATCTCCCGACCCTTCTCTCCCCCCTGAATCAGCACCGTCCAGGGGGAGATCTGTCGTTCCACGGTCCAGGGTCCCCGCCAGTAGGTGGTCAATTTCCCGACCTGCCCGGCCCCGACGCGAGGAGTGTGCAGCCACACTTTCGAGCCCGCTGAGTAGAAGGGGGGCTCCATACGGGGTCGGGCGCTCTGCTCTTGCCACTGGTGCGCGGCCTCTCCTTGTGGGTAGGCCCGGTCACAGACCCCTCGTAGAGTCTCCATCAGGTGTTCCACTGGGCAGCTCCCCTCCTCCCGTTGCGGCGGAGGGACACAGAACAGCAGATCTGCGGGTAGACGAGACTCACGGCCAAACATCATTAGGAACAGGGTCTGGCCCGTGGACGTGTGTACTGTGGTGGTGTAGGCGAACAGGGCATAGGGGAGGTGTTCGTCCAAGTCCTGTTGATTTGCGGCCACCATGCGTTTGAGCTTCCCGGCTAGAGTCTGGTTTATCCGCTCCACCATACCGTTCGCCTGGGGGTGGTATGCCGTGGTTCGGTCCTTCTGGATTCCAAACTCGCGGCACAGTGCCTGGAACAGCTCGGCCTCGAACTCACTACCTTGGTCGGTAATGACCTGTTCGGGGATCCCGTGCTTCAGCACATAGTGCTCCATGAACGTTCGGGCTACCACGAGGGCCGTCTTATCGGGGATGGCCACCGCTACGGGATAGCGTGTGAAGTATTCTACTGCTACGAGAATATATCGGTTGCCCCGGTGGGATTGCGGGAATGGCCTTTGCAGGTCGATCCCAACCAGCTGATTCGTTCGACTGACGTGGAACGGTCTCAGGGGTACCTGATATCGCGCCGGTTTCGGTCCGCACTGCTGGCACGCGCGGCAGCCCTGTACCCAGGCGGCCACGTCTTGGGCTAATTTGGGCCAGAGATACTGGCGACGCAGGGTCTCCCGAGTGCGCCGTTCCCCGTCATGGCCCCCGAGCGGGTGGTCGTGCACCAGTCTCAGCAGCTGGGGTCACACCTGGGCGGGAACACAGATGCACCCCGGCTGGCCGGCTTCGGTTAGCTCTCGCACCACCCCGTTCTGCACGCACAACCGGGTATACAAACCACTCCAGGGTCCCGGTAGGGCGCTCATCTTCTCCCTTAGGGCCGCTGCCACCGCCGCCAGGTCCGGGTCCCGCTGCTGGGTCAGTCTCAGCTGCTCGTCGTCCAGTCCCGGAAAGGTGCAGCCGACGTCCTCTTGGATCCGCCTGGTCAGGGTGGGGTGGTCCGTCGGTTCCCCGGCTCCTTCTGCAGGGGTTCCTGCGGCGCATACCATACTCTCTCTCGGGGGGGGGGGGTTAGTTTCAATGCGCTCCCGGGGTCCGCCACCTGTTGGCAACGTCCCCCCGTGAAGCACGGGCAGGCTTCTTCCACCCTCGTCTCGGCGCACACCGCGGGCCGCCTGCTCGGTACTCGATCTGCAGGTTATACTCCTGCAACTACGCCAACCATCGGGCCATCTGCCCCTGCGGTTCCTTGAACGTAAGGAGGAACTGCAGGGCATAATGGTCGGTGTGTACCCGACATTTCCTGGCGTACAAATACGGTCGGAACTGTTTACATGCGAAGATCACGGCATACAGTTCTTGACGGGTCACGCAATAGTTCAGCTCAGCCCCGCTCAGGGTCCGACCGGTGTACGCGATGACCGGCTCCGTCCCACCCTGCACCTGTGACAGCACCGCGCTCAGCCCACTGCTGCAGGCGTCGGTGTCCAAAATAAAGTCAGTGGTGAAATCAAGGAAAGCCAGGGTGGGGGTGTGGGTGAGGTGGTCTTTGAGGGTGGTGAAGGCCGTCTGGCAGGCCTCCGTCCACTGATAGGGGTTCTTAGGGGATGTGAGTTGGGTGAGGGGGCGTGCAATCTCGCTGAATCCCTTTACAAATTGCCGATAATAGGTGGCGAGCCCCAAGAATGACCTGATCTCCGTCAGGTTCCTTGGCCGTGGCCAATCCACTATGGTGCGTACCTTCTCCGGATCGGTGCACACCCCTGCCTCGCTGACTCGGTGTCCGAGGTACCCCACCTCGCGCTGCGCAAGGTAACACTTACGCGGTTTGAGCTTGAGATGGGCTGCTCGCAGTCGCTGGAATACCTCCCGTAGCCTGGACCAGTGCTCAGACAGAGACCTACTGAACACTATCACGTCGTCCAGGTAAATTAGGCACTGCACCCACTGCAAGCCCCGCATCACCAACTCCATCAACCGCTGGAACGTCGCGGGCGCGTAGTGAGTCCGAACGACAGCACCCGAAACTCAAACAGTCCCATCGGGGTGGTAAATGCAGTTTTTGGTCGATCCTCCTCCGCCATCTCCACCTGCCAGTACCCGGACGCCAGATCGAGGGTGGAAAAATACCGCGCTCCTGCGAGACTGTCAAAGGTGTCATCGATGCGTGGGATGGGAAAAGCGTCGCCGAGGGTGACTGCGTTCAATTTTCGGTAATCAACACAGAATCGGGTCGACCCATCCTTTTTTTGTCACTTTTGTACCACCGGGGCAAACCAGGGGCTCGCTGAGGGCTGGATTATGTTGTCGCGGAGCATATCTACGACTGCCTCTTTAATCTTGCCCCGTTCAGGTGCGCCCACTCGGTATGCGGGGAT